GGGAAGGAAAAAAAAAACCCAAACAAAAAAGGAGGCAAGAAAGGAGCAGGTTTTGGGTCACGACCCAGTCGTTGGACGATGTCCAGAGGTTTACGGATTAAATACATGCTATCCGGAGCCCGAATGTAAAAACCACAAGGGGAGAAACCCATGCCAGCTTTAAATACTTAGTCCTTAGCGAAGGACTTAGGACAATATGCCTAAAAATGCCTTTTCCATCAGTCAAAGTTTGTTTAAAAGTTGGATGACTTTGAGAAAGGCTTCCCATGAATTCCCCTCTGGCTAAGCAATCAAAACAAGTTTAGTGAAAAGTGGAAATGTGCGGATGGGGGTAAGGGGTAGATTACTCCTGACAGCTGTATTTCCATTTTCTGAGATGCCCCGTGTGATCCTGCTCCAAAATAATATTATTGTTCCCTTCCTCAACCCCATTCACGCTCCGCTCCATTGTGGGAAGGGGCTTCTCCCCTCGCAAACATTTGATTATTACGTTTGTTTCTAACACACGCCTTCCCGGGGCCTTTGGCGGGTGGAAGGGCCGAGGCACAGGCCAGCCCCCCTCTGCTTGGTTAAGAATCTCTCAAAGTTGGGTCTGGCAAAAAAAATAACATTAATGATAACAGTAACAACAATAGTAATAATAATAATAATAATGAAAAAGAAGGGTTCTGCCCGACCGTCCCTGTGTACCGATGAGCGCCCTGAAATGGACGGGAAGGGAAAGCCTGGGAGTCTGCGGGCAGGCTGCGGAGTTAAATCAGCCTGATAAATGCCGGCAGGTCTCTTTGTCACTTTTGAAAAACAGGTTTCCATCAGGAAGACTTATTAAGATAAAACACATTAAAACGTCGAGCCGGCTATTCGGTAAATCTTCCATTTGTTTTAAGATCTGCGCTTTATCCTTTGCAAAGAAATATTCCCTCCAACGCTGCGAGACTGCATTTGCACTGGAAGTAAAAGGGGGCAGTCACAGTACACGTCTCCGACCACCCTGCATACAAATTAGATACTCCTGTCTAAATAAATTATCTGATGTTCAAATCGATATTAATACTACATTTGCTACATTACAATATTGTGCAAATTTAGGAGTCATTTTAATACAATGTAAATACTATTTTTCATGCATGAAAGGCAACAAATATTGATGGATTATAAACTGCTCACTGTTAAACAAGGCCTTTGAACGATTTGCCATCTTTGTTCAGGAATGCTTTTAATTTTGCCTCGGCCTAGTTTTAAGCCAGATTTATCGGAGCTGTTTAGTTATCGCTAACCGTGGGGACCGTTTTGGAAAAGGGGGGCAGAAACCGGGGGAAGAGGGGAGCACAGGGAGAGATGTGGCAAAGGGGAATTAAAAAATGATTGCAAAGTCAATGGTTTAAAGAGTAATTACAGAGTCATTAAAGGTTATTACAGGGAAATGTTCAGCTGAGCAGCGATTAGCATTCCTGATACCTCAAGTTCACCGTGGTTTGAGGGCACAACTGAGACGAGTTGTGGAGGTCTCTGCTGCGAGGGGGTGGAAGTGGCTCCCAGCCCTGCAGCTCCTCTGGGGCTCCCCG